TAAACCACGACACAGGGTTTAATAAGAAAAGATGTTACTTTAGGCTAAGAGCAAGGACTTTCTCACTCCCTGCACTTCATCTTGTCCATAGTAACCTGGTACCTTACTGTGTTGCTCAGTTCTGTGCTCAGACAATTATTCAACTTCAGCTTACTTGAGAGTTTTTCTCTTTACATAGAAAATCGGGCTCTCCAGTGTACCAATTTTTCATTTCTGTGGAGTTCTGCAGAGTAAAATTAAATTCCACATACTTTATGGGGCTCAGAGCCTTTTATTTTAGTAATAAATCTCTAAATTTATATTTAGAAATTCACTATACGTTGATGCACTTCCGTATTCCCTTATTTGTTACATGGAAGTAATAGCTGTCAGCTGAGTCATAGAGGTGTCGTTCTAGGTTTCTTACAGCACGAATCTAAATGTGACCCTTTCCACAATGCAGCACGATTAGCCTCTGTTACAGATTAGAACAGGGGCAGCTGAAGCGAAGCACCCAGGGAGTTGCAGTGTCTTATTGTTTGTTTCTTCAAGAATTGCCTTTCTTGACCAGTCATTTTTAAGTGAGAGGAAATTATTGAATAAAATGTAGACGTTGAACCTGCTCACATTAACACTTCTCCCTGCAAATTTAATTCCATTCCTGTGTTTTTAAGTGACTCCTCAAGAGAAATGTAAAAAGAATTCGAATATTTTTGGTGAGGTGATGCACAGAAACAAGCAGATCTTTGTAATCTGCCCTATTGTTTTCTGTTTACTCTGACAGGTTAGCTTCGAAATCTTGCAGAGCTCTCCTCAGTATGTGCTGAAAAGAAAAGCAGAAACTATTAACAATGGCCTTCAAGCTATTGAAAAGATGTTACAACAGAAGAGTGAAAACGTTGCAAAAGCCAAAGAATTTCAGAAGGTAATCTTGCCAAAAAAATTTTGTGAATGCTAAAAGATTTTTGATTGTTTCTACAGAGCCTGGTTTAGCAGGAGCGTAAAGTGGCCCTCCGTTCATTTTATGTCTGTAAAAGGAGAAGTACAAGCAAGCATTTAGCTGGTGAATATTTACCAATTCTTTCTCACAGGAAAATACGTGGTTTTTTCAACTATGAATTACACAGGTAGATGCAGAGTGTTCTGTTCCTGTCGTACCAGTTCTGAAATCTTTGCATTTCCACATGCCCCACATGCAGAACAAATAACTCTGCTGTTATCTTTGAGCCTGACCATATATTTCATTTCCCCTTTCTCCACATGCAGCAAATCTGGGATATGTTGGACCTGTGGCATTACAAACTCAATGAACTGGATGCAGAAGTGCATGATATAGTAGAGCAGGATTCCTGCCACGCACAGGAGTTGATGGATATCTTAGTGACCCCCCTTCAGCAGTACCAACAGGTCTCGCAACTTGCTGAGCGCAGAACTGCCATTTTAAACAAGGTAGATGCAAATGTAAAAGTTTGAAAAAAAATCACATCTTATAAAAAACAAATAAAGGCTTTGCATAAAACATCATCAAAGGCTGTCACGTGAGTAAAGAGTCAAAAGCCTGCTGGAGGTGCATTGGCTTGTTGTAGCTAAGAGTTTCTGGAGTGGCAAACCTCCAGATGCTACTCCAAAGGACTGGCACTGCACCACAGTTGACGGGGGTTAGCATGGGAAATTCATGCCCCTGGCTGGGTGATGAGGTGATTCTCTATGACTCTGCTAATGGGCTATCTATTAAAATAACATTGACGTATAAATCGCAACAATGCCCCCATGAAATTGTAAGCACCAAAATTACCTTTGATTAGAGGAGATAGCCTGAAATCATGAAACTGTTTCAAAAAAATTACGATCTTTATTTCACCATACTAATTTAACTGACGATGATGAAAATGCATCCCGTTTTCTTTTAATTTTGTCCATAGATGTGTTTATCCTATACAGTGAATAGAAATGCATTTGTGCCTTTTTGTAAAATCCTGTAATTTCCTAGACTGCCAACAAGATGGAAGAATATGATGAACTCTTGAAGAATGTGAAGGTTTGGATAGAAAACACCAACTGCTTGCTAAGAGCAGATGCTCAAAATGACTCTGCAAAAAGCTTACGCAAACATAGTGATGACCTTCAGGTAAGTGTTAATGCAGATATATGGTCTTGTTAGAACTGGTTGCTCTGTACAGACACAATTTTGCATTCTTAGGTCTTACTGACATAAATAATTTACCGTTTTCAATAAATCCTTTAAGTGAAAAATAGTTATAGCTGACACTCATGAAATATAGATGGATATTTTTCGGTGTTGGACATATCTATCTTGTGAAAGTGCTGAACTGTAGTACATCTATCTTCCAAAAATATGTGATTGTCTTCTGTTACCCTGTGATTTCCAAAATCTATGAACGTTTCTGTGACAAAAGCTTATTGTCTCTGCATTTGTGGTTTGGAGTGTTTTATGTGTTCTGGGCTGGGAAGCTAGTGGATTTGGAAATGCACCCAAGGCTTGTATTAGAGTTGAGACATGCATTCAGTCCTTTCCTTCAGTGGATCACATGCATTTCTTGCAACCCTCACTGTTCTTCATGAAGACATTCACTGTAATTAATCCAAAAGCTCATCCAGTTAGCTGCAAGAGATGGGAAGAATCTTCCCATTATGCACAACCGGAGCAGGCTGGTGTGCAGAAACCCCTTTTCAGGTGTCTGGCTGACATGTCTTGTTCATGTACTTGGAGTCAGCCTGACCATGGCACAGGAGCTGGAGAAGAATCTTCTCCAGGATTTCATACTTTTCATTTTGGGGGTGGGACCTCTCTCTGAGTTTGAAATCTTCCTCTTCATGCCTTTTGTCATGCTCACGTAGACTTTATCTAATTGATTCCCTTAAAATCGTGGCATCAGTCTCTGAGTTTTCTGCCTGCAGGATGCAGCAGTTCAGTTCCCTTAGGAGTGAAGTGTTTTAGTCTGAACTAAGCTTTTGGGAATATATGCAATGATCAATGACGTACAGTAAATTAAAACTGATTCCTTCTGGTCCTAACCTCTGTGAAACTTTCATGTTCATTGATGGATCAAACTAAGCTCTTATTTTGTCTCCAGATGGCTTTGGAAGACTCAGAGCAAAAGCAAAATCTTCTACACAGTGTTTACTTGGAGCTGGAGGAGCTAACACCAGTCTTTGAAACAGATAGTGTAATGCAACAGCTGAATGAAATAAGTGATCAAGTAGCAACTTTACAGCATGAGATAGCAGAGATTCTTCCACAGATCCAGCATGTGGCTGATGTAAGTTTGGGTGATCTGTAAGTGCCTTTTATCAGAGCTTCGTCATATGTTATGAAATACAACTTATATTGCTTGCATAAAAACAGCTGGTTTTAGTAAGTGTGCGAAGTGAGGAAATTAGTTGTTTGGAAACAAACCATCAGAAGGTGTTTGGTATCTAATTAAGCTGTAAAGTTCGGGAGTATTGCTGAAACTCCTTGTTTAGGAGCAGAAATGCAGTGCTTGTTGACTGGCAAATTAAAAGAGCTTATCTTGCTGGAGGGTAGGGCTCCTGTTCAGAGGCACCTGGACAGGCTGGAGAGATGGGCTGATAGAAACCTCTTGAAGTTCAACAGAGACAAATGCAAAGTCCTGCACCCAGGAGGGAACGTGTCCAAATACCAATAAAGGCTGGCAGCCAACCAGCTGAAAAGCAGCTTTGCCAAAAGGACAGGTGGTCCTGGTGGACAACAAGTTGATCATGACACAGCAGCATGGCCTTGCAACAAGAAGGCCAACAGCATCCTGGGCTGCCTGAGCAAGAGTGTAGCCATGAGGCCCAAGGGAGCAATATCTTTCTTTTTGGCACCTGTGAGATCACATGTGGGTGCTGTGCTCAGTTTTCGGTTTCCCAGTGTAACAAAGACATAGACATACCTGGAGCGAGTCCAGGAAGGCCATCAAGGTGGTCGGGGGACTGTAGCACAGGATGTAGGAGGAAAGGCTGGGAAATCTGGGTCAGTTCAGCCTGGAGAAGAGACATCTTGGGGTGGGGGGGCAGGTATTACTGCTACATAATGGGAAACTATAGACAAGATAGAGCCAGACTCTTCTTGGGGTGTGCAGAGAAAAGATGAGCAGTAACAGACCTAAATTACAACAAAGGAAATTCCATCTATGTATTAGGAAGGATTTTTTTTTGCAGTGACATGGGTCAAACACTAGATCAGAGGCCCAAGGTGGGGGTAAAATTCCCATCCCAGGAGATACCCAAATGTCAACAGGATCAGGCCCCAAACGACCTACTCTGATGGGCACCAGAGACCTCCCAAGGTCCCTTCCAACCTAATTTATTCTGTGACTCTGTCTCCGTGAGAGTTCACAAGCAGCTTACTGCATGTGAATCCTTTTTCTATCTGACAAAAGATGACTCATATAGGAAGCTGCAACAGTGTAATTAGACCAGTTTCCTATGCTGATACTGGAAACTACTTGTCACTACTGGTAATTTATAATGTGACTTTTCAAGGATATTTCAATTCTGTACTCAGGGTTTAAAACAGACCAGGTGACCTTAGATAGTTAATTCCTCCAGAAGTTATGATGATACATAATTTATAATAACTAGCCTTTTGATTGGTAGCATCCACTAACATATCCTGCATATGCTGCACTTGTTTTTGAGTATTTCTTTTTAAATTTAAGTGAAAGGCAGAAATGTGAGCTGGCTTTGGTATTTGTACTACCTACAAATATTCTCTTTGTTTGCAAAATCTAGGAATTGGATGCCATTGAATCTCATGTGAAAGTGTTTGAGAAGGACATTGCCAAAATGAAGACAATCCTGTCATCAGAAGATCTGTTAGAATTTTCTCCTAAAGACCAACTTAAACATGGACAGGTCCGTGAAAACTCCTGTATAGGCTTTTTTCCCTATATATTTATGCATGAGTTAGCATAAATATACTTTCACAAGCATGACGCTGTTTTGTGACTGCAAACTACCATGAACAAGTTTTTAGTGTATGACTTTGAAATGTTAGTATCACACAAATTCTGACTCTCGGGTCAAAAAATGAAAGTATTATTTCAGTCATGATTTCGGCTATATGTTCCTACAGTGGCAAGTAGTGCAATCCAAGAGGAGCATATCGGTAGGGCAAAACAGTTGATGCAGAGGACCTGATATCTGTGTTATATGTCTTGGAGGTTTACTTTGGACTGATCCTGTAGAACAGACATCCATTAGTGGCTGGGTGTCTTCAGAGGCTCTTCTGCAGAGTATCTTCTACTTTAGTTTCATTTGAAAGGAATCCAGTTTGCATGCACCAAGACAACTGCACAATGTAAACCCTAAGGTGAGACTGTTGGGAGAGCCCTTCAAGAAGCACAGTCATGGTTGAATGAAAACATTTGAAATGAAAGCACTATTGAGAACATGCCCATAGAGAACTTGAGTATGTAACAAGCACACATTGTCGGACATACCTGCCATATTTGAGTGTCTCCATTTTTGGAAAGTTTATGGCCTGACTTTCAGAGACACTTGCTGCACATCACTCTACTTAGCATCAAACAGTAAGAAATCTGAAAATCAGGCCCTATTTTTCAAAAAATGGAGGCAAAATTTAGCAGATGTTTCTGGAAATGTGGGCTGGAGTGACTTACCATAAAACCATTTCATCATGCAGGGACTTCACTTGGCCAGATGGTTTTCCTTTCTCTACTGAGTGAAGTAAAGCACAGCATTATGGTATCTTTTCTTTTATACCACATGCAGTCCACGTTGTTAACTGACTGAAACGCAAAAAGCATGGGTTCAGTTTCAGGGGAGCGGTAAAAATGTCGTCATATCTCTCATAGCTTTGTTATCCAGAGAATGATTTTGTAATGGCTACATTATATGGAAAAACTAAAGTAATATTTCTTCTGGAAAATAATGTTCACCTACTTCCTCATTTTAAATTGAAGCCTGGGTAGTACGCTAATAACAAAAAATCCCTGATACAGGCTGTGCTTATGAATGAGAGAATAAGCATCTCTATCCCAATTGGAGCCTTTAAAAATGAAATCTTCTTGAGAGGGAATTTAACAAAAATATTAGTAATTAAAAGGCTCAGACGTGGTTTGTATTTTTTTTTTTTTTCTTCTGAAGTTCCCAGCGGAATGAGGTCTCAGTAGGATTTCATATTTCTTTAGGAGAACCAGGAAGCTGTGAGTTGGTATTGCCATTTTGTCGTTCCTAAGTTGATCACTGAGTCTTCCATAAAACATGGATTGTGGTATGAAACTGCACATTTCTCTTCATCCAAAACTGATAAAGCTGATTGTAAACTGTGCATCCGCTGGCGTGTTGTGATATGAAATGCTGTCTTTGACAGGAAAGCCGTCTTCAGAGGTTTCTCCTGGCTTCCATCCTGGTTCATCATCTCAGCTATGTTGACAAGACTGTTTATAGGACCATCATAAAATGGCTAGCTTTAACATAGGACATTTCATGGTTGGTTTGCAGCACAAAAAAGAAAAATCAGAGTTGTCTAGAGTGACATTAAAGGGTTTGCACCAGTTTTTTAACTGTCTTCACTGCCAAAGATGCACTACTTTGAAATGACACGCTTAGTAATCTGAGTGTGACCCTTTTTTTGTCACTGTGCGAACTTTATGTATGTATATGCAGAAAAAGCAGAATTGTAAATGTAAGTTATATCTTACTCTTGCTTTAGACAACCTCACCATGGATTTTCACTAATTTTTTGCAAGATTAAAATATTCTTCCTTCTTAAATGGGAAACTCACAAAAGAGAACTTTTGCACATCATGACAGTGGTATAAATTTTCAGTGTTCATTTTTCCAACTCAGTATCCATCATCCGTCATCTATGCTGTATCCTAATAGGTTATACTTGACCATGTTGGTCCAATGCAGAAGGCCATTGTTCGTATACAGTCCTATGAAGAAGCACTTCGGCTACCAGGGGTGGAAATGCAACCTTTCTCAGTCTTCCAGAGAGCAAGAAAACTCTTGAGAGAATCGAAGAAATTAGAAAAAATTACTAAGGAACAAAACAACCTACTGGAGGTAATTGATTTTTTTTTTTTTTTTTTTTTACTGTCACCTACACCACCTTTATTTTAGAATAATTTTGATCACTAGACAATATTGTTTTTACAGGCATATGGTTCACCTATTTTATCTTCTATGTAATGGTTTGGGGATTTTTTTTGTTCTGTTTTTTTCTTGTATAATTTGATACTACAACAAGGCACACTGGATAGTCTTGACATTCATTTCAGTTTTCCAATTAGTCACAACTGACACCATATGTTTTAGCATATTGTAGAAGAAATGAAGGCCCAAGTGTCTTATGACCTAGGTTTGCACAACTGATTATTGATGTCCAGTGTTATATGCAGGTGCTCACATCTGCAACGTTCAAGTCCTTAAACATATCTTGAACATGGAAATTCTTTGTTGACAGCCATTAGATAGAAATTGCTGACAATTAATAGCAGAAAGTCTTTTACTAAAGATGATCTTCCCAAATCAGTGAGCCAGGAAAGTGACCATTTTCTACCACCGTCGCTTGGTTAATTCATTGTTTTGAGGCAGCGCTCTCCTGCCGTCAGAAGGTCCCATGCAAGGATGTGTCTGCATAAGTGAGCATCTGACAGGGGGCTTGGAGATGCTGTTGGCCAGACCAGGTTTGGAAACAGAAGTGATGTAACAGCATCGGCGTGACACACGGCTGTAGGAGAAGGCAGTGCCGGTGCGGTCAGTGAGTGTTAACTCATGGGCGGTATGAATTATGAAACAGCTATGCTGGCTCCAAACCTGAAATAGTATCTCTGCAGCACTTCACTGAGCGATGTGGTTGTAACATCTCAGGAGGGTTTTAATTCAGGGATATCTGTGTCGTGCTCCATTGCCCAGGGTAGATATACTTGGAGGCAGTCTGGAGTTTGGTTATGCATGTTCCCATATCAACAGAGGTATGAAAATTCTCATGTGACCCATCCATTTCTCAGCGGGATGATAGCAGCACCTAGAAAAATGATACAGTATCTTTGCTGGTTTGGTTTTCCAGTAAAGCAGGATGCTTTAGAACATCTAACTTCTTACTGGGCATTTCGGAGGCCAGGCAGACACAAGTGGCAGCTAAAACATGAATGTCCATCTTTGATTTTCAGTTTGTGAAATTAACAGCACCACACCAAGAGAAAAACTCAGACATGCTACATGACTAATGCATGCTTGGAGTTCAGAAAAAGCGATGACTATGTGAGATCCGTATGAACCTATGATCTTTTTTTTTTTCAGTCCATACAATTTCTTATGTCTGAAAAATGGATGTGATAAAACGTACCTTTTTCAGAGACTTACCAGATTAAATGCTCGAGAATTTTCAAAACACTTTAAAACTGTCAGAAACAGGGTGCTTTGCAATTATAAAGTGTTATCATGAGACTTCTAACTGGTTTATGTGGAGCATTAGGTCAAGGTTTAGATTTTTCTCCCTTTCGAAACAGCTGTAACCTTTTTTACTCAGCATCTGCCTTTATCTTAGAGGCATCCAACAATCTGTAGCTGAGTGAAATTTCTCTGTGAGAAAACAGATTTGAAAAATTGCAATTCTTGGCAGCTAGGATATCAAACTGTGCAAAAAAGATTTTCCAGTCCTGTGGAATGTGTTGAAAGCAAGCAGTACAAGATACAAGTCTATCACCAGCTAAGACATAACAAAGGATAAAGCTAGTAAAGGATGGCATTTTGAGTGCTGCACTAGGAAGATAGTAAGTATCCTGATAGAGAGGAAAGCAAATGGGAGGCAAGCTTCCTGTATAAATATATACATAGGGGTTTTTTTCCTGAAGATTATTTTTTAAATTTTAGTGTTTGGATGCGTTAGCCCGTATTTTGCTATCGGTGGTGCAATAGGATATTGCACTAGTAACTTTTTTATAATTAAGTTGCAGTGTAACACCTGAAGAAGTATAACAGAAACAAAACCTGTAATAGGTAGTGTAAATGCTTTGGGGCAAGATTTTAGGTGACTTAGATCTGTGTTGAATGTTGCCCTGTTTTTTATTATGGCCTGTCAATTACCACACCTGTCACTACCTAAATAATGTCATCAGGAAGAGGAGCTGGAAGCCGCAGCTGCTTCTACAGGGTTTTTGTGCAAGAGAGTGGCAGTATTTGCATATTTGATGATTTACCGTGCTCATTTTTAGTAAGCTCTTCCTTAACAAATACAACGCCTGCCTGCACATACACTACAGCAGGTGGGCCTTTTCCGTGGGTAGGTCTTTTAGTATTACCACAATATGAAAAGAGCAAATGTTAAGCAGGAAATAACTCAAAAGAGAGGCAACACTTCTAGGAAGAGACTCAGTCCCACATATATGGCATAATTTATGTTATATTAGGAAAAGGATAAAATAAGATTTTTTGCCACTCAGTGGAAGGCAGGGAATTACACGGGTTATCTTCAGGCAAGTGGCTATATTCACATATTGGCCTGTGAGAGAAGACATTGGAGTCTCTGTACAGAGTATTCATATTCTTTAGTTAGTCAAGGAACTTGAGGTAATGTTTTACCTATTACTAAACAGTCCTGTTCATGTGGAAGTGAAGGTATGGGTAAGAGAATCTCTCCTTTAGAAGAACTTTTAGTTTCTTATTAAAACAGCAGGAAAAGACCTACTCTTTTTTTCCCTCCTCTGATTCTTTAGCTATGACATTAAGATTATAGTCCATAATTAAGTACCTTCGTCTCCAATTTTGCTTTTTTTTTTAAGTGGGGAAAATAGTTTTTTCTTCCATTTAAAACCTGTAAGTAAAAAAAAAAAATCACTCAGAACCTTATTAGTTTGTGTTTTATTGAGAGGGAGTACTACTGTGAGGAAGTGAGTAAAGAAACTGTTCATAGTAGGAGAGACTCTTTGCTCTGAAAGGCAGAGTCTGTGCATGCTTTGCAGAGAGAGTTTTCAACCTGTCAGGCTGTTCAGGGGCTGCTGTCAGCAGAGAAAGTTCAAGCCTGTTGACAATAGGCTGCGTTTTTTTCAGTACCTTTTGCAGACACCTGAGGAACAGTCCTTAGATATTCTTTGGTTCTCAGCCCATGAGTCGGAAAACACAGAGCCACTAAATGTTCTGCAAATTAAATGTTTTCACAAAATACTCTGATTTGTAGATATAACAATTTCTTAATTACCTGAGACATCGTGACACGCTGTGGCTGACAAACATGAGCAAAGTGTATGGGGAGGTTGCTGATTTCTGCATGAACAGTAAAGCATGGGGGTTGATGAGATTTTGCTGTCACTGTCAAATGAGAAAAAGTGAATTTGGCTGTTTATAACATATAATATGTTTTCCTATAAGTCATGTAAAAAGAGGAAGCTCACACAAAGTGGAAATACTTATCATTTTTATAGGAGGTATTCAAATTGTTAGATAATGTGGTTGGCTTATCCTCTGAGCTGCAGTGTTTGCCTGGTGTACAGCACAGTTCATTTTTGGTCAGTGCAGAACTAGCTGGCAGTAAAGACCTTAGCACCAATAAAAAACAGGTAGGCTTTCTAACTCAATATGAAACCCTGTCATTTCTCTTTTTTTTTCAACCTTTTCTAAATTGTAGTGAATGCAATTAAATATGCTCCATTTGCATTTCATATCCAAATTCATAGCTCTACTCTGAAGTAAGCAAAGATGTGCTCCTAGGCAGAATACCCCACCATACTTTGGCTTATAGATAGAGCAGTTTGTTTGTCTTTAGCAAGTGAATAATAAAATGCATGAGGATAGGGTTGTGCAAAGTTAGCTGAATTAACACAGCTAACTTTTACGTGTAACTAGAGATGCAAAGGAGGCTTCTTCAGTATAAGTTTGTTGCATTACTGACGCATTTGTTTATGTACTAGTTAATTCAAAATGATTTATGAGAATTACTATTTCTCAGGAAGCTGTAAAGAAAACAGAAGAATGTGAGCAAGAAATTGAAAAGTTGAAACAATTCTTAAAGAACCACTTGGTAGAAATATCCCATGAAGATCAACCACTGGCTCAGAAGACTCATTGTCCAGAGGTGGGTTTCATTGTTTTCTCTCTCATGTCTGTTATTAACAGTGTCCTAATAGTGTCCTGACTAACAGTAATCATGACAATGCAGAGCACTGAGAAGTAGCAGTATGCTTCCCCTCCCCACCACAGTCAAGCAGGCAATTGAATGCCATGGGGTGACTACGCATACGTAAGTTGACATATACCAAGAGATATTACAATTAATATTAGTTTGCAAGTAGGGTATATCTTTCATAATATATTCCTTATTGACTTTGATGTGTCGTTTGTACCTATATCAACTTGCAAGGAAAATTTAGAGTGCTGTTTTCATGACAGCTGACAGCTGTTTTGGTGAAACAGTATGCAGCACTGATAGCTTGCCTGTGCTCAGCATCCTGCTAATGTTGCTGAGGTAGCAGCTTGGGATATAAGGAGAGAATTGAGTCTATTTCTGATCACTGACCGTGCAATGGCACTTTTGGTGATCCTGGTTAGGGTTAGATTCTTTAGACTCCTTTCCTCGTCCTCACTGCCACACTGTGTTTTCATCAACTGATAAACATGTGTTGCTTTTCTCCCTGCAGTCGGCTGCTTTCTGTAATGGATGAATTGATTATTTAATGCAAAAATAAGATGTGTTTTAAGGACAACACTGCAGAAAGCAGGAAATGACTAATTAAGTGTAATAACTATTTATAAAGTGCCTCTGAAATGCTCAGCTTTTTGCAGTCAGTCACAATAAAGTTAATACACATAGATTGTACTTGCCTAATAACTATAATCACTCGGTAGGCTCCTAAGTACATAGCTGCTCTGCTTTTAGGTGGTTGGATGTTGGAGGCTTGATGCTAGTACTAAGCATGACTCATTTCCTGATTCTTAGTTGGTTTTGTCTTTGAGTGTAGGACTTTCTGTTTAATAGCTCTTGTTTTAGAAGAAAACCTGTTTCACAATTGTAGCATTTCATGAATAGAAGTGGGCAATGGAATTGCCCATCTTATTGAGGGGCTTCAGATGAAGAAGTGATGTTAATAAAGATTCGGTTTCTGAGGAGGTTTTTGGCTAGTTAAGTTTGCAAAACAGCAGCTGGTAAATGTATGCTGTAAAGTCTTCTCCTGCAATGAAACAAATAGAAATACTGTTCTTAGTGGACATTTATAGAAATATGCCAAATTATCATCGATGGCTGTTTATTCATTCCAATGACTTTTTCTTACCTCTACCTTTGGAAGATTCAACCTTGTGTTTTAGAGTGTACAAAAGGAAAAAAACATCCTTGTCTGAGTAGAGTTCCCATGTCCTTTGAAAATTTGCTGGGGTCCCTGCCTCCACTTTCCCTGACATGCAGCCACACTAGCGTTATTAACAGAAGAAACTATAGTCGAGACAGAACTGGCAGTCTTACTGCTTTCATCTATCACAAATTATTATTTTGCATAGCATTATTCACACCGTGATAGAGCATGGTGTGGAATCAATGCTGTTCTTATTTCAAGCCTAGCATCAAAGCTTGCTCTGATGGACTGAGCCCAGTGTGCAGTGGGATATTTAGCCATGTTTCAGTTTTCTGAGCAAGCATCAATGCTTCAAAGAGCTATAGCACTTTCAGTAATGAAGGGAGTAGGGCATTTTATTCCTTGCCCTGTCTTACTCTGTTATTTGTTGTGCTTTCTTTGCTCATCTGGAGGCTGGGTGGTAAGGAAAGGCCCTAGCAGCAAGTTCTAAGGGCAGAACACCGGCTAGAGCAATAGTCATGGCCAGGGAGGAGACCAAGGCAGATTTATTTCCCCCTTTGTTAGTGCAGAGTTACTTGGATTATTGTTTAATCCCTGCAGAATGTTAAATATTTTCCTTGTACTTTGTTGGGAACCATTGCTCCCAATATCACATTCAAAGACATGGGATAATTTTGGTCCTAGCTGTGTCACTAAAACCCACCGAATAATTTTTTTCCTTCTTTTAGGCCAGCTTCAGCAAAGAAGGCTCAGCCCTGAGCTACACTTATTGCTGTCTTTGCCCTCATCAAGGCTATCCCAAGTGTTTTGTGTCAGGTTTCCAGAGAAGATAGTTGGAAGTAACATCGCCTACTCTGACACACAGAATAATGTAACCCAGCTGCATTCCCTCTGTCCTGAAGGAAACTCATATTCCCATGGCTATGCAGGACCTAGTTAGAATTAGTCATGCAGCCTTTCACATTTCCTTCCAGACTACCAACCTCTGCATTACAGATGGCAAGTGCTGTCCTGAGCTGAATCTGTTGCTGCTGTTTTGCGTATATCTGGACATCACCTGCACTGATAATGGGGAACTGTCCCAATGCCCTGAAAAAGCAAAAAGGGGAAATAGCCCGAGTCCCAGTAAGATGCATCACTGGTATTACCTGTTACATTACTGTTTGGTTAAATAAGAAAAATGGATGCTTACAGATGTTGTTGCTCCTTAGGGAGAAATGGAAGCTGTAAAAGAAGAAATCATAAAGCTGTGCCAAAGAAAGGAAGATATCCTTACTGGAATGAAGAATTCAATGTCTGAGCTTCACCAGCGCTTAGAGGAAGAAGTGCCTGAATCAGGAGATGAACCCACAGCCTCTGTATTAGCACAAAGTGACTTGATTGGGACTGATGTTTCTGGTCAGAAGGTAAGTGGTGCACCACATTGTGATCACTTCCGTGAGAGCCAAAGAGGGAAGGTAAATAACCCTTCTTCCTCCAGGAGGAGTGGCATGTGAGAGATGAGCACCCCTGCAGCTGTGAATCAATACTATTTCTCCTCCCTTTTTGTGTGCTTCCGAATGGACTGAGTATGATGCATGTCTTGGAGAAGGCAGGAGAGAGGTGTGCGTCTGGTTATTTTTTAGCATGAGCAGATGCAACATGAACTTTGCATCAAGCAATCAACAGCAAAATGCTCCATGTGTAGTTTTGTCGATAATCAGTTGTTCTGGGATTTTTGGTAAATTGTTTTCATGGAGCAAAATGAAATTTGTCCTGATTGTAGCTGTGATGTTGAAACATTACAGCAGAGAGAAAAGTCCCAATTTTCAGAGGTGCTTAGTACCTGCAGCTTTCAATTACTTTAATGTAGGGTGGCAGATGTTCAGTGCTTCTCCAAAAGTGGACCCAAAGTGGTAACTTTCTTTTGGTTTGCAGGCAGAAAAGAAGAGGAGGCTTTTACTGTTCTTGTCATGAATAATTGGACTGTCTCTTCGTGTGTTTTTTTGTAGTTGAAAAAAAGAGGAATGATGTCTCTTCTACCTTCCTTAGATGAAGAATCAGAAGACTGTTCTTTCCACAGCAAGGTGACTTCAGTATATATCTTATATATACAGCTGTATATGTAAGATACAAGATTTTGGTACAGGACAAATTATGAAAAATGTGTGATCCGAAATACTTCAGAACAAAATGAAATATCTGTTATCACTCCAGGATACTAAGAAATTGCACTTGAGCCAGCCTACCTAATATTACAATACCAATATTGCACAGCACCTCATTCTGTAATGTGTGCTCCTACTTTTGGTGGGATTGCTTATACAGTAATTCCCCCTTTAGGCCCTTTAATGGCAAAATATGGGCCTAAATACCAATGTTTATATGTGGGAGTGGGGTTCAGACAGAATTAGGCAACCTCTGAAGTGCTAAAACTTAAAAGAAACAATCAAAATTATTTGTATGTTTGAGCTTAAGAAAAAAAGGACATGATCAGACTATTGGGAATGAAGTTAAGATAGAAGAGATTTCTGGGAGAATGGCAGAAACTGGGAGACACTGCTCAACAGGTTGCTCTGAATCTGGGGAGTCTGAATGCCCAGCTGAACTGCAGACAAGCAAAGGTGGGAGTAAAGTTTCATGATAAAGTTAATAGGTTTTGAAAAAAGAAAAAAAAAATCCATGAAAGTTTCTGCACACTTTCCTGCACCCTAGGGACTAAACGAGATGTATTCGAATGAAATCAGGAATGTGCAGAAGTGCTGGTGAGCTTGTAGCCTAGCTACCTGGTTGCACAGCACCTCACAGACTGCCTAGGCTGGTAGTGACCAGCTACTGTCATCTGCATCTCCTGGGAGGGACTGTGGCCTCAACCAGTTCTAAAGTATGTCCATTTCTCTGAAGTCCTTGCTATGGATATTAATTAGCCTTTTTGCTACATCCTTGCAACAAGAATCGAACGGAAATGTGGCAAAGAGGTGATAGAGTATTGGAAGAATTGCTTTAGGCTAGGCAAGGATGAAACTCCATGGCTAGACAGTGCGAAGAAATCCAAACAGCTGGGATAGAGGTGGTGTCTTACTACTCTGATCCAAGCACTTTGGTTTCAAGGTTTCTGATTCTGCACCTTCGTTGGTGCAGTTTTCTTTACATACAGGACTTTTTAGGGGGCAGGACAGGAGAAAGATTGTTTCTTGTTGGTTTTTTATTTTTTTAAATAGTGTGAAAAAAATTAGGATACTCTGAGGTCTCTAGAGAAAACTATCAGTGTCATTCCAGCTGCCATTGATCTTGCAGTAGAGCTATAGAGCAAGGGAAGAGGTGGGATTCGGGAAACACAAAATAGATAAACAAGGCAGAAATAGAGCAAAGTGTTACTACAGGTTTGCAGTAATTTACATTGCCTGAAGGAATATCTGAGCTTCTTGTTCACAAGCTAATGCTGAGCTGTAACTGCTTTCAAAGGGAAGTACAGCCACAGAGAAAGATGCAAGCTTTTGGCCTTCAGAAAGAGATGATGAAAGGCACAAGGAAGACAGTGCAACTTCCTGGTCTTCTGGTACCTTGTCAGATGGCATTGTTCAGGTAATGCACTCAGGTTTATCTCCACAGGGATGGGAACTCATCTTTGTGGAAAGGATCTGCACAAGTCCTAGGTAGGGCTGAAGTCTGCAAAGCAAGAGAACTGTAGAAATGCAGGTCATGATGGCTGTGTTTAGATCCTCCATCTTCCATATCACACTGAATCTTGTCGCTTAAAATCTCTTTTCCTGTTGCGCATATCAATCTATCTTAAGGGTCTTTTCCAACCTAAATGATTCTGTGAATCTATATTAATTTCTTCTAGCCTGACAAAAACCCCAAAGATAGAAATGCACATTTGGTAGCAGCAATTTGTTCACTAATTCCTGGGAAGGCTGTAAAATGTGCATTTTGTTGGGGGATGATTTGTGGAAGAAGTTCTCCTTGTACATGAGAAGATTAGCATCTAAAACACCCAGTTGGGTACAATTTTGGTGGCATTCTGCTCTGTTCTTCATCAATAATGTTGTGGTAACTGCAGTTGTTAGTCTCTGTATATCAATGTTGCAGGCATGAAAGAACTTCTCTCTGTGAATACTCTTGGGCCAGGACCAGTATAGGTTGAGTGGCTGCTACCCTTTGAGGCTTCTCTAGCACAACAAGGCAATAATGATACAAATAGTTCCACTGTTGCCTCTCTCTCTACAGGATGCTGATGAGATAATGCAATCACACAGTAAACATGGTGAGGAAATATCTATGCAAACTTTGCAGAGCACTGAAGACCCTGGCACAGGTGATGGCAGTCAGGCTATGGTGAGTTTGAAGGCCTGAAGAAGGCTGAACAAGGTGACCTTCTGAGCTCGTTGTATAACCTACCTAGTGGGCAGAGGCCCTGTTTCATTATGGTTATGCTACTGGAGTTTGTTGCAGTATTTATGGTATAGTAGGATACTTACAACCCTTTGTGGGCCTCTTCATATTGCTGCTTTGGGTGATAATAAATACATTTTGATTTGCTCCTTGAAAATCCAGTTTACTAGGGAACAAAATGGAGTATTTTCAGGAAGTAAGATGCTGGCATTCATATAGGCATGAACGGCAGGGTTCAAGTGATGTAAATATACATCAACTATGGGATTTTTAAGTGGCAGTTAAAGGAGAAATTAAGGAGATTGACACTCCTATATGTTGCTGCTTTGTGGAAGGTATGCTAAGGGAGGAGTGGGCAGCAGCTTATAGGCTGTATACAAAAGAGCATGTGGAAACAGACATGAATGCTCCAGGAAGGCCAGGAGCAGCAGACTGGTAGCAGAGCAGCCTCAGCTCTCTGGGTTTAGAGCATGGAAGAAGACAGGATCTGTCATTGCCTGGGGCAGGAGCAGGCCCCCAGGTCACTTTGTCTCCCATTCCCCCTGACTCCTTCCATCGTGCCTAACCTTTAATTTATAGTTAAAAAAACATAGCAAACTATTAAAACCCAGCCAGCAGCACAATATATTCTGTATTGGTATTAAAGAAATAGCCTCGTGTCAGTGTATTATATATGATGTAATTGTATGTGCGATCTCTCTGTGTTTTTTCTCTCTGCTACGCTGTGATGCTGTTGGTCTCTGCATGTGCAGGACATATCTAAGCTCCCTTTGCAGCTGCAGGAGATGTAGTCACTGCAGTACCCAAGCACAGCGAGCAGTTCAGCTGAGCTTGCACTACTACTCTGTGTCAGGCTGAGCTGAACCCCTGGCTGCACTGAGTGAATCTCCATTGAGGATCATGGGAAGTTAGACACCTGTATTCAACCTCCAGCTGAACGTTTTGGGTTTCCAGGAGCCTTACAAGACAACATACGCCCACCTGGCACTTCTGTGTGCCACCGTGTTTTGTCAGCATCTTGCCTTCGGGGGCACCCACAGCCTGTTAGACCCAGTGATACAGAAGTTCAGTGGAGCGGTTTCTCGGGCAGGACACGGCAGCTCGGTGGTCTGTGGAGAGAGTGCTGTCAGGCTGTGAGCCAGGGTCCTTCTCTGCTCAAGTAGACAGGTTTTTTAGAGAAGGCCTCCTTTCTCAAACCATACCAGACAGCTTTTTTGCTTGCAACATCTTTTCCACTTCAGTGTTTTGCTACACTGTGACATTTCCATATGCTACACAACTCCCTGTAACGAGTGATTTTTTTTTTTTTTTTTTTAAATTATTTACAAGATCAATTACTATTTGGAGGCAGGAAGACATTTATTTTCATAAATGGTAAATCTATTTGTTTTCCCTAGAGATGTGCATATGTGTAGAGATTTATGAAGTCGATTATATTTATGTTCTCCATTTAGAGCTTAACTGCATGCTAAAATTAAATAATTCCTATTATCTTAGTGATTGCTAAATGATACCATTTCCTCCCTCTGGCATGTTGTCCCTCCCATGCAAACATACCTGCTTCCAAATTCAGTTATAGCAGCCTGAAACACAATTTAGGATTCAGAAAAACATTTGAATTACTGGATGAGGAAGAAGACAGTTTACAGTTGTTTTGAGGGGAACAAAGGGTCCAATATGCCAGACAGACCCTCCTCTTAGAGAAATCTGCTGCCTCCCTGGGGCCCAGGTTAAGGACATCACTAGGAAACTTCCTAGCCTGATACAGCCCTCGGACTATTCCCAATTATTGCTTTTCCATGTGGGTGGCGATGAAGCCGCAACATATAGTCCAAGGGCAATCAAAGGAGACTTCAGGGCCTTGGGATGGTTGGTAAGGGAATCTGGAGCACAGGTAATTTTTTCCTCTATCCTTCCCGTTGCGGGCAGCGACATTGGAAGAAACAGATGGACCCAGTCTACGAATACATGGCTCCGTGGCTGGTGTCACTACCACAATTTTGGGTTTTTTGATAATGGGATGGACTGCACGGCACCAGGCCTGCTGGCGTCAGATGGGATTCACCTTTCTCAAAGGGTGAAGAAGGTCTTTGCTCACAAGCTAGCGGGGCTCATTGACAGCTTTAAACTATGACAGCTTTAAACGAGACTTGAAGGGGGAGGGGGATAATATCAGGCTTGCCCGTGACAAGCTGTGGGACGACACACCAAGGTTAGAGGGACGGGATGCTAGTGAGGGCCCTCAGCTGTTACTCTGAGAGGTGCTCCACGTAGATGAGCCAGGGGCTCCTGAGGTAATAGGACCCAACAGGGAAACACTGGTGAAATACTTCAAAGGTATGGGGTGTTACTCTAAGAAGGTGACACAGCCAAGAGCTCAGCTGGAGTGCCTCTACACCAATGCACGCAGCATGGGCAACAAACAAGAGAAATTGGAAGCCACGGCGCTGCTAGAAAGCTACCACCTAGTTGCCATTACTGAAAATTGGTGGGACTGGAGCGCAGCTATCAATGGCTAGGCTGCTCAGAAGGGACAGGCGAGGAAGGAGGGGTAAAGGGGTTGCGCTCAACATCAAGAAATGGATAGATTGTGAAGAGCTGTCTCTGAAGAATAGCCACGAGCAGGTTGAAAGCTTATGAGTAAGAATTAGAGACCGAGGCAACAAAGGGAACCTTGTAGTTGGTATCTACTACAGGCCGCTCAATCAAGGGGAGCCTATTGACGAAGCCTTCTTACTCCAGCTACAGGAGGCATCGCACTTGCAGGCTCTCATCCTGCTGGGGGGCT